TGTCATATTCATTCTAAATATATCCATTTAACATTTATTCTGGAAAATACTTTTTACGGGAAAAAATAATTCCATATTGGCAGTTATATTTGTCTTCATTTCACAAAATTTCATTATTTTGATATTTGACTCCCTTGTTTCTAAAAGTCCACTACAGTCTTCTGAAATTAATGTGCCTTTTCTCTGGCTCATATGAAATTTGTCTTTTGTTTGATTATCACTGTCGGAAAATGATACGGTTATGATTGTTTCTGTTTATCCCGCTTTGGGTTTAGAGTGTAACCCGAGTCTTCTGTTTTGTATAAATATTTCATTTGAAAATTATCATAATCTCTTTAACAGTTGGTTTTCCATTATTCTGTTTGTATTCTCCTGGGACACATACCCATTTCCATATTTTTCTTCTCAGAGGTTTCAACTATCTGCTAAAATTCTCAACTTTGGTTTTTATTTCTTTGAACATACAAAGATCATTTTTTAAATGTATGTGTCTGATAATTCTGTTATGTGGATATTCAGTTTATCTGTTTCGAATCTGCTGTTTCTTTGGATTTGATTACATTTTTTTTTATTAAATTTTTTTTAACGTTTATTTATTTTTGAGACAGAGAGAGACAGAGCATGAACGGGGGAGGGGCAGAGAGAGAGGGAGACACAGAATCCGAAGCAGGCTCCAGGCTCTGAGCCATCAGCCCAGAGCCCAACGCAGGGCTCGAACTCCCGGACCGTGAGATCATGACCTGAGCTGAAGTCAGACGCTTAACTGACTGAGCCACCCAGGCGCTCCTGATTACATGTCCTTACTCCTGTTACACCCTTACATTTCTGACCTAGTGCAGAAAAATGTGTATGAAAAACTTCTAAAGATAACTTGAGGCATAGAATGATATTAACTTCTTTTCAAAGTGACTTATTTTCCTGCAGAAGGACTAATGACGTTATTTGGTCTAGGTCATCTTAATCCAATTGATGATTGAAATGATCTCAGGCTGAGCTCTAGCACCTATAAAGACAGATCTACTCCTGCTTCATCATTGTTCCTAGGGTGTAACTCTTCTAGGTCTCAACCCAAAACCTGGAGATTTTATAAGGCTATCTCTCTGTCTTTGAAAAATGCCAACCAACAATTTTTGTCCTTCCATTCTCCGGCACCCTCAAAAAATTTAGTCTTCTTTCCAGGGTGCTATCAGACTTCATATCCTAAGGGCTCCTGGATGGTTCAGTCGGTTAAGTGGCTGACTTCGGCTCAGGTCGTGATCTCATGGTTCATGGGTTCAAACCCCTCATAGGGCTCTGTGCTGCCAGCTCAGAGGCTGGAGCCTGCTTCAGATTCTCTGTCTCCCCCTCTCTCCCTCTCTCTCTCTCTCTCTCTCTCTCTCTCTCAAAAATAAACATTTAAAAACAAAACAAAACAAAACAAAACAAAAAGACATATCCTCACATCCTAGATTCAGTAACTATTCCAGAGTCCTGATTAAAATATCTTGGCTTTCTAATTCTTCAATGACTCAGTAGCTCTTTGAACACTGAAAAATATTTTGATCAATTTATCTTGCTGATCTCATTACAGTGTTTATTTGAATAACCTAGAATAAAATTCTCCATTACATATTATTCATATAATGGTTAAATTAAGAGAAAAACTTCTTTAAGTATTATATTAGCTTCAATAATTATCATTCAGTAAAAAGTGATATTACTATTGGGAAATGCTCTCATAATTTTAATAGCTCTCCCATCATTAGAAGGTTAAGGTCAACACTACTTTATTTTGTCAGTAATTTTCAACAACTATGAAATGTGCAATTTATTTTGTTTTCAACTGTCAACTGAATTTTTTTTTTTTTAAGTTTATTTATTTGTGAGACAGAGAGAGACAGAGCATGAACGGGGGTGGGTCAGAGAGAGGGAGACACAGAATCCGAAACAGGCTCCAGGCTCTGAGCTGTCAGCACAGAGCCCGACCCGGGCCTCGAACTTCCGGACAGCGGGATCATGACCTGAGCCGAAGTTGGCCGCTTAACCAACTGAGCCACCCAGGCGCCCCTCAACTGAAATTTTAAAAAAAGATATGAAGTCCACAGTATCCTAATTATAATAGGACTAAAAAGTTTTTTTTTCAAGAGAGAATGTAATGCATTAAGCATAATCTAAGCACAAAGATTCTAATCAATTTGCAACAATTGCAGCTGTGTGTTTCAATTTATATTTCTTTTTTTTTTTTTTTTAATTTTTTTCTTTCAACGTTTATTTATCTTTGGGACAGAGAGAGACAGAGCATGAACGGGGGAGGGGCAGAGAGAGAGGGAGACACAGAATCGGAAACAGGCCCCAGGCTCTGAGCCATCAGCCCAGAGCCCGACGCGGGGCTCGAACTCACGGACCGCGAGATCGTGACCTGGCTGAAGTCGGACGCTTAACCGACTGCGCCACCCAGGCGCCCCTCAATTTATATTTCTAAAACAGCTTATTGTCTTCCTCCTTTTTCAATTTAGACATATCCCAAGTTGAATATTCCACATAAGTTCCAAAAAGAAATCTCAATTACCTAGCTTTCCTAGTATCATTGAATTTTACATTTTGAGCCATACATTAGTTCAACACAGTGAATAAACATTCTATAAAGCAAAAGCAAGAAAATGATATTGAAAACAAGTTGGAATTTAAAAGTAGTGTGTGTGTGTGTGTGTGTGCACGTGCGTGTGTGTGTCTTCAAAGTAAAAAAAAAAAAAAGATATCTGCTTATTTTGAATATATAATTTCCACTAAATTTTGGTTTATAGTGGACTTCCTAGTCTTTGTAAATTCATCTGATTTGCTCGGCCTTATAAGCAGCACATTTATTTGTTTCTTTGGCTTTGGTTTTGAATTTGTTCTTGTTTAGTAGGAGAAGAAAAAATCCTTTTTCAGAAGTGTGTCTAATTATTATTTTTCTCTATCTGGCTCTTTATTTATTCTGAAATACTTTTTTTTTATTACTTTCTAGGTTTAATAAAACACCTCTCTTCCTTTTTTTTTCTACTTGCACCCAAATAGACTTTTTTTTAAAAATGCATTGTCCAAAAATTATTCTTATCATTCTCTAATGCTTTCAGGTCAGGGTACAGCCTTCATACTTTGGTACTATTTTAACCCCCATGTTACAGGTGCACAATATTTGTGATAAAATATTGGGCGTCCTAGACATATTACTGTAAGCTAGCAGATTCTCCTGATTTATTTTAGGGTATGATGGAGATAAAACTGTAGTTTAATTTCCTGATTCAAAGAAACTTCATATTTGTGATAGCATTTTTATTAACTTAATAAAGAGTGGCATATGATCAAGGTTAACTATTGTTCATAACATTTTTCATTACTGATATATTACTGGAAGACTTGCTCAAAATTGACCTGACTAGATCAGATGGCATTGAAATAAATATTTTGAATATTTTGTTTTAATAGAACAATTATTCTAATTATTCTGGAATATTAACCAGACTCTATTATCAGACATTCAAAAGTGGTAAACATTTTTTTCTTTACATTTGAATAATCAGGCATGTTGTATGCCATAAATTAATATAGTCCATCAGTAAAGGGTTTGCTTGATACTGAATTTGTCAGATGTTGCATGTTACCCTCATATAAAAGTCTTTTTTGGCTAATGAGATGATAAATACTGTTAAATGAAAAAAAAATCTGAACAAACCTACATATATAAATATTTATACATATTTAAATATTTATATATATATATAGTTCTATATATAATTATGAACATATATTATAAAGATGCAGTTACATAAAATTCTCACAAGAGATAACATAATTTTTAATCAATGTGCACACCTGTATATTTGAGTAAAACATGTGCAGCTTTACATTTTCTTTCTTAGAAAATGATGAAAATTGGCAAAGACAAAGCAAAGCAGTAATGGCAGTTGAATTTATCATTGTCATGTTTGCATCCTTTCTCTTTGAACACTCAGAGGTAAATTATTTTCCTTTTTCTCTCTGAAATTCCAGAGTGACTTTAATCTTGTTTTAGCATCAAAACAAAACCAAATAATGGACAGTTATAAGATTTAGAAAACTATCAGAAAAATAGTCAGCTGGTGAAACTTCATGCAATCAAACAGCCTTGTTTCCACTTATCTTTCCAAATCTTATGATTATTTCTCTATAGATCAGATATCTCTCTCCACATACATGGTTGACTCTCAGTTTCAGAATTCAGAAGGCAATCCTTTTAACTACCTACTTAGACTCATTAGAATCAAGGTCTAAAATTTCCAAAAAAGAGAACTAAATTATTTCTATTTGAATCAGTGTCAAATCAATTGAATTCAAGATGACACAGCCATATAAAGATTAAAAAAAAAAAAAAAGATAGATACTGTAGCCAATTCCATTCAGCAACAGAGACAGTTTACATAGAAGATGGAATGTATATGGGACTGAGGAGACACAAAGAAATAGGTTTATAATGGTTTGATTAGTTAAATAAAAACTCCTTTGTGAAGAAATCATTACATTAAATTCAACATTTTTATTTTATTATTTTTTTAAATGTTTATTTATTTTTGAGAGAAAGAGAGAGAGAGACAGAGTGTGAGCAGGACAGGGGCAGAGAGAGAGGGAGACATAGAATCTGAAGCGGGCTCCAGGCTCTGAGCTGTCAGCACAGATCCCAATATGGGGCTCGAACCCACGAGCTGTGAGATCATGACCTGAGCCGAAGTCGGACACCCAACCGACTGAGCCACCCAGGTGCCCCAATATTTTTATTTTAAATTCACCATTGACAATTGTTCTTTCCTTAAGTCTTGACTAGTTCTTCCAAGGAAGACTTCTTGTTAATTTTGTTAGCACACAGTCTAATACATTTTAAATAATAATGCTACCTATCCAATTCACCAGTTCATTCAGTAGGCTGCCGGTGGACATGCTTATTATGTTTACATGGAAATCTTAATAACATTCTATTATTTTTTATTTATATCACCTTCTTTCAGGTATTTTTGGCTGAATACACAGGACCTTTGCTGATATATCTCCTCTTTTATTTGAGGATCCCATACATATATGACATGAAAGAGAGCTCTAGAAGATTGCGCCACCCAGTGGTACAGTAAGTAATACGTATCATATCTATAGGTTAGGAGGAGATAAAACTAGCACACAGATATTAAGGTTGTTTATAAGCTCAAAGAGGATGACAGTTATAGAAATATATTTTAAGTAACTTTAAATAATGTATACACACCAACTTGCAAATTTATATACAAAGAACTATTAAATATACCTTAAAGTGGAAGTAATATAAGTTCATAATGATCACAGTAGGAGAAATCTGGACATTTAAAAATATCACAAAAAGGTTAAGATTATAAAGTTGAGAGGTCATACATAGGGCTGAAGATGTGATAGTAAATAAAATATAATAAAACACATACTTCTCTAAAAATATGGGCAAAATTTGTAGGAAAGAAACAATGACACTTAAATAGGAAAAAAATAGGTTTACTTTTTTTTTTTTAATATTCGCTTATTATTTTGAGAGAAAGACAGAACCCGAGTGGGGGAGGGGCAGACAGAGGGGGAGACACAATCTGAAGCAGGCTCCAGGCAGAGCCCAACACCGGGGCTCAAACCCATGGACTGTGAGATCATGACCTGAGCCAAGTCGGACACTTAACTAAGCCACCCAGGCACTCCCCCCAAAAAAGTTTTATAAGTTAACTTTAGTTGGTCAAAATCCAAAATTAAATTTTACTTTAAAGTGAAAAGTAAAAATAAGGTACACAAAAGGATGAGGGCAGTTATCAAAGCAGAATATATAACATACTGTGAAAATAATCTTTGTCTCTCTGTCTCTCTGTCTCTGTATTTCTCTCAGCTTACTACCAAATTAAAGAGAAAGAATAATTATCCAAGATGCTAAACTGTGATGTAGTGTTAGCAATTTGTTAAGAAAAAAAAAAAAAAAAAGAACCTGATTTAATGACTAAACTCTAAGTGAAATAAGGAACAAAATTTAAGGAAAGCTTAAATTCAGGGGAGCCTGGGTGGCTCGGTCATTTGAGCATCTGACTCGTAATTTTGGTTCAGGTCATGATCTCACAGTTTGTGAGATTGAGCACCACCTGGGGCTCTGCTCTGACAGCGTGAAGCCTGCTTGGGATCCTTTCTCTCCCTCTCTCTGTTCTTGCCCAACTCACACATGCTCTCCCTTTCTCTCTCTCTCCCTTCCTCTCTCTCTGTCTCAAAATAAATCAACTTAAAAAAAAATAAGCAAAATTTAGGTCATAGGAATACTAGAAGATAGAGAGTGATTTCACTTCTGACTTTCTCATCTCAAATCAAGCTTTCCCTTACCCTTGATTTCTGTGCCACAGCCACACTGGTCTTTCTTGTCCTGATACCTACCATGTTCCGTTTCTCACAAGGACATTTACACATGCTATCCCTCTTCTCCCATCCAATTACTTATTTCTTCTTTCTTATTTAAACTTCAAAAAAAGTTCAGTATTTCTTACTCTGGGTGGCCATTCCTATTCTTTGTATGACAAGCATGCTACTGAAATGTTCTTCCTTTATGCAATTTATTACTTTAAAATTATATGTTCACATAATCACTTGTTTGTATCTTTCCCTCTACAAAGTTCTATGATGGGTCTACTTTCATGTTCAGTTTATCTTCACTGTTTAACATGACCTGGTTTACAAGAAGTACTCAGTAAAAGTGTTTTGAATGATTAGAAGGATGAACCAATTACAAACATATTTATTTTACATTGGGCACTTTTAGATTATAAAAGAGAAGAACCTAACTTGGATGGGAGTTCTGAGCTGGCTTTTCTAAGAAAGTGGCATATCAACCATTTTCTTTGTTTTCTGGAAGGATGAGTCAGATTTTAACTAGAAAATCTTCATGTGGAAATTATTTGTGGTACAAAGAAATTTGGTGCTTTGTAGGAGCAGAAAAATAAGTGAACTAATTTAACCGTGGCTTGAACTAAAATTTCTTACTTAGTGATCTGCTACATAGCTGGGCATAACCTCACTTTATGCTTTCTTATAAAATGGAAAATTTTCTCACTCAAGGATTTCTGGAAATACTCCTAACAAAGAACCAACAAGGTAGGAAAGATACTGATTCCCTCATCAATCCTTTAAGCTCATAAGACATCTTCCTAAATTAGAACTTCACTTTTGTTTTTCTTACTGTCTAGAAAGCTCTGCCCCCAGATATCCACACTTGTTTTCTCACTTCTCACAGAATTCGTCTGTTATTCATAGATATACGCACATAGAACATGCCCCTCTCCTGATAGATGCAAACTTACATTTTTATGAATTAATGAATAATAATAAATTCCCTGGGATTTAACCAGGTTGATTTTTGTTTGTTTTCCCTAAAGTCACTGATATCATTAACCAGAAATCATAAATTCATTTTGTTAAAATAATCTCCCGGGGGAGACTCAATGCTTGATTTTACATAGAGTAAATGACATGATCTTTATGTTCAAACTTTATTGCCTTAAGTATGCAATTCTTGATCCATATTGATTATCTTGAATAGAAGTCAGTTTTTGAAATTTATGATTTTAACAAATGCAGTACAGATTTTAATGGAAATATATTTTAAGCATAAGCAAGAATATATATTTCTGTAAATCACATCTGACATTTACTTTTAAAATAATAGTTTTAGGGGCGCCTGGGTGGCTCAGTCGGTTAAGCGGCCGACTTCAGCTCAGGTCATGATCTCACGGTCAGTGAGTTCAAGCCCCGCGACGGGCTCTGTGCTGACAGCTCAGAGCCTGGAGCCTGTTTCGGATTCTGTGTCTCCCTCTCTCTGACCCTCCCCCGTTCATACTCTGTCTCTCTCTGTCTCAAAAATAAATAAACGTTAAAAAAAATTAAAAAAAATAAAATAATAGTTTTATAAATGGCAAGAGAGATGTTAACTTAGAACAACAGCAACAAAACAAATACTCAAAGAGATAAACAAGACATTACAATTTGTTAGGTAGGCAAAAACCAAACATAAAACCAACTAAACAGAACAAAAAAGCTGTCCTGACTCCATAAAAAATGAAGTTCAAACTTTTTCAATGTGTGGTTCTTGTTGAAGGAAAGCCAAACAATGAAAAAGTTATTCTGAATATTATAAATGTCAAATGAAGTCTAAGTAGGTTTTGGATATTTTTAAAACTTGTAAATTTTCCCCTCTGAAACCCATTAGTTTGTTCTCTGTATTTACAGGTCTGATTCTGCTTTTTGTGTGTTTGTTTATTCATTTGTTTTGTTGTGTTTTTGTTTTCATTTATTTTTTTTTTAAGATTCCACAGAGTGAAATCATGTGGTATTTGTTTTTCCCAATCTGACTTATTTCACTTAGCATAATAGCCTAGGTCTATCCATGTAGTAGCAAGTGGCAGAGGGGAAGGGGAGAAAGCGTGTGGGGGGGGGCAAAATGGGTTAAGTAGAGAGGGAGACACAGGCTTCCAGTTACAGAATAAACATGTCACAGGAGTAATAGGCACAATATAAAGAATATAGTCAATGATATTGTAATAGCATTGTATGATGATAGATGACAGCTATATTTGTGGTGAGCATAGCATAATGCATAAACTTGTTAAATCACCATGTTGTACACCTGAAATTAATATAACATTGTATGTCAACCATACTAGAACAAAACAAAAGTGTACATTTTCTGCTTCATTCTTGAGGCATTTTGATATGAGTCCATCTATAGTTTTATGTATTCTTGGGGTAGGTGTGAGCATATAGCTTACGACTGGTATTATAAAATATTTTGAGTGTCATCAGAAGTAAACTTATAGAGAGTGTTGTAATAGTACTTTTATTGTGAAATAAATTTAGAAATTTTCTAGCATAACAATATTGAAATAAACATTAGTGTTTGATTAGTAGAAACATTTCCTAATAAATATTGTAGCAAACTAAATAAAAATAAATAATAAAACGTCTTATACAGAAGGCAAGCCAGACCTTTGGAAGTGAATTTAATGTTCATTTTTTATCTTCTTTCTAGTGTGGCTTGCTTCTGTCATTGTATACACTATATCCGCCATCTTTTGGAAACCTTATTTGTCCATAAAGTTTCTGCAGGACATACACCTTTGAAAAATTTGATAAAGGTGGGATTGATATGTTTTGTCATTTTAATTACTATTGAGAAATTTTGTGTATTGGGTCATCCGTAAAATAATGCAATCATCTTTATTTCCCTTATGCTTAGATTCTTCCGTTCAACTGTATCAGCACATCATAAACCTCTGCTCCTGAAATGCCACTTCCTCCATGACCTTTTTCACTGGAGCTGCCCTCAACCAATGACCCGACATAAAAGATTTGCCATGTCCTTTATGTTACAGGCCACATATGCTCAGGCACATTTGATTTTGGAAGTACTTAGCATTGAATTCAGACTCTTTAAGTGCCACTTGAAGAGGAGGGATGTCATATATGAACCTTTGTGTAAATATAGGTCTGTGTGACCTATATTTGAAATGATGAAACTACATTCTGTATTGATGACAGTTGTCAGTGTGATGACAGTGTCTTTGCTCTTCCAAAAATGGTGAATGCAGGAGTTAATAACCATCCCATCAAAGAGCTGTCAAGAAAATGGGAAGTTTTGTGAAATATTAAAGTGGAAATGTACATGATATAACATCCTGCAATTCAATTTTCCAGTACTAATTCCAATTTAATATTGACTTTCAATAGGAAGTATTTCCTTATTGAAGATTTCCTGGGGTTTTTTTTTGGCGAATACCTGTTTTGTAAAAATTTCAACAAGCTATTCTATTGTTGTCATTGTATTAAAACAATAAACCCTAAAACTCTTAGAAACCTCAAAACTAATTTAGACTAGCTGCTTCTATTCTGCAGAAGACATTAAGATTTATCGTATCAGTACAAGATCAGTATTATAGCCTAGGACTTTTAAAACTAGGACATTTCCCTTTATATTCTATCAAGACAGGTTTTACTAATGATTAAATAACTCATTATTTTATTCATTTACTGATGGAAAATGAATATTAATATATTTTATGTAATACATTATTATTTTATGCTTTCATTCATATATATTACTTGATATGACAAAACCACTCTTGAAAGATATTTTTAAAATATATTGTTACATTTGTCTTATATCCTAAATTCCATTTATATTAATAAGGATTGAGCAAAGTAATGCATTTCCTTAGTGGTATCAAATAGTTACTTGTAAAATGCTACTTCATTGGGAGAGGAAGTGTTTCATTTATCTGGCTTAGAACATTTATACCATTTTTCATATTAAAAAAAGCTGCAGTTTGGCATATAAATATATGGGATGATTTCAAATGATATGATAGATTTTATATATATATATATATACATATATATATACACATATATATATGTGTATATATATATATATATATATATATATATGTATATATACGTATTCCCTAACTTTTATTATGTTTTATTTGCAGGGCTGTGCCTTTTATTGGGGATTTACTTCTTGGATTGCCTACTATATTAATCACCCACAGTATACACCACCATGTATGTATGATTTCTTTCTAATTAAATCCATACTAAATTGCCAACATCAAGACTCTCTTCTAAACTACACAGAAGCTATGAAACATGGTACACTTAAAAAATAAGCAAATAATGAAAAAAATGTGAATTTTAAGTTGCTTCTGTATAATGCTCCATTAAATTTTTATGTATGCTTAAAGACCATTTTGACATTGGTTTATTTTCTTTCCATAGGAACTCTAACAAATATATGAGTTGGTTGTAAATCTCCAAAGTGACAGATAGTAAAAATGAAAGGGTGAAGATTAAAAAGAAAAATTCTGTATCATCACACAATCACATGAAATCAACTATCAGGATTTAAAAAATAAACAATTAATATAAATATGTAGTTAAAATATTAAATATAATTCAGTAAGAAGCAATTTGTTCTTTAGCATACTATTTTCTATTTATAACTTTATAAAATATCCTGGCCATTGACTCAGCTGAAGCAATTTGGTGGAAAGCACAATGGACCAAACCTAAATTCTCAGTTCCTAAAACTGGAGGGAAATAGCTGTACCGAACAAAGAATTCCATTTCTTTTATTTACTCTGGACTTTTCTCTCCTCAGCTTTTACTGCAGCTCACAAGGCACACACGGGGTTCTAGTGAGAAAGGGCTGAGGTTTCAAATTTAATTGATAATTATTTTTTGTGATCTATTTCTGGTGTTTTTAAAGTTTGAAATAAATAGAAATGAATAGAGTATTCAAGCTTCATTTTAGATTTTACAAAATCAGTTAAACTGTCTTAATATATACTTGAAGTACCAACACAGAATCTTTGTTAAGATCAAGAAATCTAGTCGAGCTTGCTAAGAGTGTATCATTGCAATGTTCAAAACTTTAATTCTTCTAAATACTAGCGACTATGAATATTGAAGAAAGAAATTTCCTAACATCTTATAACTCTGATACTTAAAGGTATGCTATCAGAATATTTACCTACTAACTTTAGAACATTAACAGATAGATACTTTTGCTCCATAGTATATTTAAGAAGAGGAGGCTCTGAAAAATGTTACATTCACATATGTGATAAAAATAGAGGCTGATTGGTATTAACATATGTAAAGTATTTATTGAAAAGGAAATGCTTGTCAAGAAATGTAAAAATGCCATTAAGAAACATTATGATGTGTTAATAGTCCCTCTTATAAATTAGGAAAATGAGACCCTGAAAGTCTAATTTTACTGGCTCAAGACTCTCAAATGCATAAGGTGTAAGTAGGAATCAAATTCCGTGAACATATATATAGCCATATAATGCTGATCCCAGCTGGAAAGTGAATATCATGAGAATATTTTCATGAGAATATCATGAGAATACCTTGAGAATATCAAGAGAAGCCCTATTCTCAACAAATTTGACTGCATAAAATTAATGGCATCTGTACATTTACACACATTAAATAAAACACAACATATTATTATGTATTTCTGACACATATACCATTAAGGAGGTCATTTTTCTTACTTCTCAAAAATACTTAAAAGTAAATAGGAAAAAAAACTGTCATAATTAAAAACTGCCCAATGGCAGGCATATTCCATTAACTGCAAACTGTATGCATATGTTCAGAAAATTCAATACATATGTTTAGTATCAGCAGCTAGCAAGGAAAAATGGCCTTTGTAAAAATTCTAAATGTGAAATATTATAAAAATTATAAAAATATTACAGAAAATTTTAATGATGGCTAGATTTTTTTCTGGAAAGTTTGTTTCAAGTTATACCATCTGTAAGTTTGCTTACTGGAAATAAACATTTAAAATATTTAAAAATCATACTCTCTGTCCCAGTACCTGTTTTAATCATACAGTTATTTATTCTCATTAAAAAATGAAAACAAGGTATATCTTCACTGTCCTGATACATGACATGTTCTGAACCCCTCTCTTGTGTATGTTAGTATCTATTCATTTTCTAAATCAGAGTGCAAACATGTACTCAGTCCTTCCTGATCTCCTCGATTAAAATAAATCCTTCATTTTAGCTCTTACATTAAATACTATATAGGTCTTTCTTAGTAACACTTACCAGGATTGCAAGCTTCCATTTGTTATCTTGTGATTATTATTTGTTTCCTTGTCAGACAATAATTTTTATTAAGATAAGAGTTGCTTTTGGCTTAAGTTTAATTGATTTATCACAAGTACATAGTATAGTGCCTATCATATAAATTCTTAATAAGTATTGTTGAATGAATAAAGTTTTGTCTAATAGTAGGTACAAATAAAAAAATATTTTGATTTAGCTATAGAAGAATGTTTAATTATATGGTAAATGTGCTTAGTTATATGGCAAAGAGATATTAAAGAATAATTGATTATAAGAATGTTTTAACACATACTATAAAAAGTATAGAGAAAATATGTATATTTCCAAGGGAAAATCTGAATTTTAATAGATTTACAATGGGTAATGGGATTTTTATGCCTTTTATTTCTCTTTGTACTTTTATCTATTTCCCAAATTTTCTCCATTAATGTATTTTATTTCATAATTAGATACATGTACTTTATAAAAACAAAATCTCCAATAATTATACATGTTTTATATATGAATATACACATATATATATTCATACATAAATACTTACATAACTTTTGACTATATTATACTTTCAAATTTCTAGCCCATGGAAATAGAACTTCTATAAATGTCTTACAAAGAAAGATGTTTGAAGTTGTATTACTTATCATACATAAAATTAAAGTTACACTAATTATGCAGCAATTAGATAATATTTAATGTTTAGAGCTAGCCATATTACACATTATAATGCATATGCTGTCATAGCTTTTACAATGAATGCTTAATAGTATTGGAAAAGTCTTTAAATATATCCTTATAAAATATGCAAGATTTAAAATGAGACATTATATTTTTTATTTGTAAATGTGTTTACATAAATACAATTTATATGTACACACCCTCACATAAATCTAGAAAAAATGCAACTATTAATACAGCTGATGGGCTTATCAGAAAATTTTATTTTTAGTACTTTTTTATATTACAACTTTTCTGCCATCAGAAAGGTGACTTTAAGATACTATCTTAAATTTTAATTTATTAATTACTCATATATGATTTGGGAACTGATATAATCTATATTTTTCTTTAAGATGAGAACATTAAATCTTACCTCATATATTTGTTTCTAGATGATAAATATAAAATACTTAAAATATTACTTATTCTAAAACATCAATGAAAAAAATTATTATTAGCATGTCTCTTTTTGTTGTTAAACATTAAAAAACAAGACATATGATCAAATGCAATCATATATTAGGCCGTATGATATGTATGTATTTATTTATTTATAAAGGAATCATTTTCCTTTTCTTTTCATTTAAATTAAATTTTAGGGGCGCCTGGGTGGCGCAGTCGGTTAAGCGTCCGACTTCAGCCAGGTCACGATCTCGCGGTCCGGGAGTTTGAGCCCCGCGTCAGGCTCTGGGCTGATGGCTCAGAGCCTGGAGCCTGTTTCTGATTCTGTGTCTCCCTCTCTCTCTGCCCCTCCCCCGTTCATGCTCTGTCTCTCTCTGTCCCAAAAATAAATAAACGTTGAAAAAAAAAATAAAATAAATAAATAAATAAATAAATTTTAGTTAATATACAGTGCAATACTGGTTTGAGAAGTAAAATTCAGTAATTCATCACTTACACACAATACCCAGTGCTCATCACAAGTGCCCTTTTTAATACCCTTTAACCATCTAGCCCATCTCCCACCCACCTCCCTCTGTCAACCCTCAGTTTATTCTCTATCATTGAGTTCCTTGTAGTTTGTTTCCCTTTCTTCTCTTCCCCCCTTATTATATGTTGATCTGTTTTGTTTCTTAAATTCCACATATGAGTGAAATCATATGACATTTGTTTTTCTCTGGTTGACTTACTTCGCTTGGCATAATACATTCTGACTAAAAGGGTAAAAGATCTGTACTCTGAAAACCATAGAATACTTACAAAAGATTTTGAAGAGGACACAAAGAAATGGAAAAACATTCCATGCTCATGGATTAGAAGAAAAAATATTTTTAATATTTTAATATTTAATATTTTAATATGCCTATACTACCTAAAGCAATCTGCACATTTAATGAAATTCCTATCAAGATACCACCAGCATTTTTCACAGAACAAACTAGAACAAACAATCCTAAAATCTGTATGGAACCACAAAGACTCTGAATAGCTAAAACAATCCTGAAAATGAAAACCAAACTGGAGACATCATGATTCCAGATTTTAAGCTAGATTACAAAGCTGTAGTCATCAAGACAGGATGGTACTGGCACAGAAACACACATACATCAATGATGTGCTTTTACAGTGACAAATGAGAAATTAAATCTGCCTTCAAAGAATTTTATAATACCAATTAAAAGTAGATTCCATTTGTATTCTAAATATCATTAGGTAACTAGAAGAAAAGTTCATGTGGAAAGCAAAAATATTTCATTCTTTTAAACTTCAAATGTATTACCCCAAAAGGTCAATTATATACAGCATAGTACTTTGAATTAGAGGATAGTAATATCCAATAAACACTGCTTCAATTATGTTTATAGCAAGACAATCCAAAATGTGAATGCATGCATTACATCTTCTTTTCCTACTTTCTAGCATTTGGAAACCGGCAAGTCACAATATCTGCTATCAATTTTTTGGTATGTATTATTTATATTTTTTACTATTCATGCTCTAATTGAAGTGTTATTAAAAATGCAAAACAAATATTTGAGGATTTGCCATGTACAAAATATGATATCTTTTTATATTATGTAATTAATGCTATTAAGTGAAGTAGGTCAAACAACTTCCCAAAATCAAGCCATTAGCTCTCTAAATCTTTTTTTTTTTAGTTCTCTAAATCTTTTAAGTTTATTTATTTACTTTTACAAGAGAGAGAGAAAGCGCTCACATATGTGCAAACTTGTGCCCAAGTGGGGAAGGACAGAGAGAGAGACAGATTCCCAAGCAGGCTCCATGCTGTCAGCGCAAAGCCTGACATGGAGCATGATCCCACCAGTCGTGAGATCCTGACCAGAGCGGAAGTCAAGAGTCAGGCGCTTAACTGACTGAGCCTCCCAGGCACCCCAAATCTCTAAATATTTTAATCAAAATGTTCTACTTAACTATAAAGAATGATTAAAATTTTTGAAGTATAGTAAACTTTGAAAAAAAATCATACTTAGTAGTTCTTCCTATTGTCTGCACACTTATAAACCCTTAACAGCAAAAAGTTTTACTAATCTAAAAGATGAACATTTAAAAAACACTTTGGTGGGGTGCCTGGGTGGCTCAGTACATTAAGCTTCTGACTTCCACTCAGGTCATGATCTTGCAGTTTGTGAGTTTCAGCTCCATGGCAGGCTCTGTGCTGACAGCTCAGAGCCTGGAGCCCGCTTCGGATTCTATGTGTCTCTCTCTTTGCCCCTGCCCCACTCACTCTTGGTCTCTCTCTCTCTCAAAAATATATAAGCATTAAAAATGTTAAAAAAAATAATAACAAAATTAAAAAAATTAAAAAAACACTTTGGCATAATTGTTAATTAACTAATTCTGAATGAAAACAAAATCTGCTTTTTTGAATGAATTACAGATCTTTTCTAATTGTTTTCAATCCAGTTATTTAGATAAATCTGTTTAACTTTACATATGCATTGTTTGGATTGGGTACACATCCATTATTTTATGAGACACATATTTTACTTCATATACCATATAATTCCACCATATAACCCATACTTTTATTCTTTGTTCATGTTCTTTCTCATTCCTGTCCTTGATAGATTAACTCTCATGATTCCTGTCCCTGATGTATTGATAAATTCCCTTGATTCATATATAAGTCTACATCCTTTGTGAAGTTTGTCTTAGACAACTTACACTCCCACATTCATACAAGGCACAAATGACACACCACACTTTGTTAAAAGGTCTCATGTAAACCTGGGTGTGTGTGTGTGTGTGTGTGTGTGTGTGTGTGCGTGCGTGTGTGTGTATTTTAATTAATAGTTTAGATAATAAGGTTCTCTACTTGTTGGCTGTGGTGGGGGCAGGTCATGCTTTAATATTTTTAACACCTGGTCTTGCACATAGTAGAAATACTACTTTCTTGAGTGAATAACAAAAACTATTTATTTATAATTTCTTTTTTTAATATTTATTTATTTTTGAGAGAGAGAGAGTGGGGGGTAAGGGGAGGGAAAAAGGGGGACAGATTATCTGAGGTGGGTTCTGTGCTAACGTCAAAGAACCCAATGCAGGGCTTGACCTCACAAACCTGAGAGAATGACCTGAGCTAAAGTTGGACGCTTAACCGACAGCCACTCAGGAGCCCCCTCTTTATTCATAATTTCTTAAGGGAATGTATTAGAAGTATATCACAACCTTTTAATTTTCCACATGTTTATATTATTCATAGATAGTAAAGCTTCAGTTTATTTACTTTGATGCCTTTATTGCTAATCTACATTGTACCAAATCTAATGATCTCTGTATATTAACTACTCAGTAAATTTGAGCAAATGGAAGAATTAACTAGTGGATAAACAAAACAATAACCACATATTTGGTTTTTATTTTGATATGTTTTTAACTTCATGCATGATTATTTCTCTCATATTTCTTCTCCTTATGATGTTAACCACTATACAAGGGTTTTGCAACTTGGTTTCCGTTATTTCTGTGTAAATATTTACACATTTCCCATTTATATAATATTATTGATTCTTTCCTTTTTTCAAATGTGGTATAGCCATGAATCCATGGCTCTAGTATAAAATAAAATTTGTTTTAAAAAAGTTACAGCTTTTTAAAACTGTCATAACAATTATAATATTTTAGTGTAAAAAAGGTATAATTGGAAACAAGCAAAATTCTAATAGTTTGCACTATACATTTTTTCCCAGGATTTTTAAAGATGCTGCCTCCTAATTAAGCTACTAGTGTTCAATCTTCACACACTCTTTTATTAATAAATGTTTCTTTATACATTTCACATGGGGAGAAAATAAGAAGGAGGAGAATTAGGCAAGTCTTATAATTTTATCATAGTTGCTGTCTTATAAGGGCCAAGGTCTCAAAATAAATAGTGATAAATAGTAGCATTGTCTAAGTCCAATATAGACAGTAGGTAAATACAATGACTTTAATTCCACATTTCTAAGCACATAACAAACATTGACCATCTCAATCCTAGACTTAAATTAAGATAAAAAGAAACATCTGTGTTTTCAATTATAGATGGTATTATCTGAGAAAACCTTGTTTAAAAGTCAAAATTTTGAATTTTGTCTATTCTGTTGCAAGTAGACATTTAGAAATAAGGTAGAGGGGCCACTGGGACTCTCTTAACATTATAAATTGTGATGGCAAATTAAAAAGGCCTGCTAGCCCTGATATTTCCTAATAATGTTGGATGCAGGCAAAACACATTTATTTTTCACAAATAAAATATGATATTAAGATGTAAGTTAGGAAACTGATTCTAATACAGAATGTAATAAAAACTGAGTTGTTTGAGTTTGCACATTTATCACCTAAATTGAAGATGCCTACCATATCACTGTGAGCATAACATTCTGTATTTCAAGGTTAATTTTCTTCATTCATAATAAATGAATGCCTAAATGTGTGCCTTTCACATATATCACAAAAATGTATATGCAAATGGTTTGGAAAGAAAAGCATCTTTTTTTTTTTTCTTAAAGAGTTTAATTTTACATAATCTCTGCACCCAACATGAGCTTCCAACTTGCAACCCTGAGATCAAAAGTTGAATGCTCTATTGACTGAGCCAGCCAAGTGCCCCAAAAGCACATATTTTTAAGTCAAGTGCATCTAAAATTATATTATAGTAAGATTATCAGTATATATTATAATTAATTACTACTATGTGAAGAAACTCAGGGGAAATTCATAGGCCAGTCTTGTATAATATAAAGTCTAACCAGAAAATGCCTATCTTAATTCCAAGTGCTAATTTTTCTGCAAATGTTTGCAAAATTTCCTGTTCTTCATTTATTGATATATGTACCCTCTTAATCTAAGAAAAAATGCTTTATTCATTTAAAGTTGAATTTGCTTCTGTTGTGTAGAGCCACATTATCACCTGGCTAGAAGACAATGTATGAGAACTATGTTCAATAAGGTCATAATTAATTATTAATGACTTATGTATGAATCAGGCATTTTGTGGACTATTAACAATTATGATTTTCTCTTCTGCTCCCGCCTTCTGTTTTTTTTTTCTACTGCCATTCTGTTTTCTAATATATGAAGCAAAATATACTGTAAGCAAAACAACACACTTTACAATGAACACTTAAAACATTCCAAAGTAGAGTATAATTCCTTTTGGAAACTCTTTGATTTTTGTGAGTTTTGCCATGCTTATATTTTATTCTGAGAAGTATTTTACCACCTCCCTCTCTGTGTAAATTCTTTCTGACTTTCAATGTGTCTTTGTTCTCTCAAATATGTTCTGAAATCACAAAATCTATAAGGGAAAAAACCAAACAAGTAGAATCAAAATTAGGCAAATTTATAAAGGCATCATAATATTTTTCTCCACAACTTTTAGATCTTTGTTTTTATGCTAGAAATAATGTGGACATACACTATAACCCAGTATCTTCATATTTCTATGACCTCTCTTCATTCTCTGAACTCAAGTCCACCCACAAAGAAACAAAATCACTATTGCAAAACAAAATATATTCTATAATTGTTAATATTTTGCTATTTTATAAATAATATTACTTTTTCTTTATCCTCTCTTCTTCTCAGTTTAGTTTTACTCTCCAGGAGCAGTTACAGTTCATCAATTCTTTGTACATTGAGCACTTCACCAGAAGAGGAATTTTTTTCTCCTGAATTTCTTACTGTCTTCAACAATGCAGGAAATGAGAGAATAGATAACATAAGACATGGTTTGCAAAACACTGAAAATCACTCTACTTCCTGTTTTGCTCTCTGTGTCTTCAGTCTCACCATTAGTTATCCAGTCATTTAGGTTAATTTTTTTTATTAAAATGAAAATATTCTTGGAGAGGTAATAAATTATGCTCTTCTCAAGCAGTCACAACTTCACTTGTAACACTGAACCAAGAAGGACCTTGGGCATAGAACAGTAATTTTTGATTAGGAGAGAGGGTGCTGGGAACACTATCTATCATAGCATATATCATAGCAAGGCTGGAGGAGAGTGGGGCCATGCAATGGGAACTGCAGTAAGGCCAGGAAACTGCTTGAATGTTTGGTATTTGTGGGGGGAAGATAAATAAGGGATGAAAAGTGTGCCAAAGGTAATGCTTTTATTCTCAGCATCGTGCTCAGGTTTCTTTGTGACAGTGTTTTCTATCTTTTGCTTACTGTTGATAGACAGTTATAGACACCAATAAAAAAGATTCACATTACTTTTTTACTGAAGACTTTAAATATAGGACTCTACCTTTTCTCATCATTTGTCAATTTAATTTCCTCGCAAATCCCCTCAAGTATCTAAGATACCTAATAACATAAATAGGAATCAACTTTATACGCAAATTTGGCTGGAGTTACTACTGCTTCTTAAATAATTTGTGTAGAAACTAGTTTTAAAAATAATAATGTAAAATTAATGGAAATTGATTTTATTATAATTTGTTATAATTATCATTTA